ACAAAATAATAATAAATTTATCACGATATTTTATCTATGAAAATGTTATTTGTTTTCTTTTCATTAATAATAAATAACTTATATGAGCGTGTGTTTAACACTTTGGGGACCGGTCACGAGTTAACTCGTGTTTTAAAAGAAAAATAGAAATAAGAAAAATAATATACAATTATATACATAATATAATATATAATAATATACATATATATAAAAATATAATATACAATATATAATAATAATATATACAATATGTATATATAATAATATAAAATAATATAAACATTTAATTTTAATTAAAAATTTGTATTTATTCGTTCGTGCATTACAAAAAACTTACCTTTTTTTTTATACAATTTTCAACATATTTCGCATCTTCTTTTCTTACAATTACACCGACATATTTGATATGTATTGACTATGTAAATCTTAACATTCTCCAATGTTTCACAGTAATATATCGATCTTACGTATATTCCAAGAACGTTTGTAAATAAAATTACTTAAAAAAGTATAAACGATCCTAAATCATTTATTTGTTTAATATCTGATCGATTAAACTGGTTATCATTACGGGCATTCAACTATGAACTGGAAACGTTCGATTAAAAACAAGTTATTTAATCATATTCAATATGGTTACTGTTATAAAACTATTAAATCATTAAACTATTATAGGATAAAAAATAAATATGTGTAGACGTATAAACAGTTATTAAATAAACAACTATGTCTCTCTTATCGTAAAGACCTTGTATTCTTTTACCGTTACAGTTTTAATATTAATTCTACGTTGGTTATTTGCTTATTTGCTTGTGGATTTTCCATAAGATAAAATTTACGGGGATTCCTGGTCGTTGAGTGAGAATGAATAGGAGGGAACCGGGAGCTGGAAAATAACATACACACGCAAGAATTAATTTATATATTTGTTATTTACGTATATATGTGTGTGTAATTCTGCGAAAAAGTTATCTGACTTTCCTTCCCCACTCTATATTCCTCTTTCTCATACGATCATCCTCATTCACATACGTAAATACGATGTTCCGTCTTTATAAACGATAACCGACGTGTTTCTAATTTCATTCAGCTGTTTACAGTGTTTCAAAGAGTATATCAGTATTAATTTCGCAATTTTAATTTGTCGATTGTATTGCATAGCTTGTTACAAAATTATTTCACAATGAATAATTTAATAATTTGTCTCGTTGTTGCATTTTGCATCGTTCAGGTAAGAACACAGTTTTATTTTTTTTCTTATTTATTTATTATTATTAAGGAAAAAGAAAAACTCGTTTGTGTTATCGATTATATAATAATAATAATTATATAATTATCAATATGTGACTTTCTTGAATATTTTTATATCATAAATTATATATAACAGATTAGCAACGTTCGAGGAGAATCTTTAGAAGTTTTAAAAGCACGTTTGCAACAATCAAAAGGAAATGTTAATAGATTGATCAGTGATTTAGAAAGATCGAAAAGAAACCTAGAATTTGATTTAGGCGTTAAACTTTCCAATACTAAGATCAATTCCATGCAATCAATAAATGACTTGACGAATCCTGCAATGAACGAAATTCGTGTAAGTATTTTTAAATAAATAATTTAATTTAAAAACAAAAACAAAACAAAACACACTCAGATCATTTAATTTCAATCTATTTATTTATTAATCATTTCGTATTATTTTTAGAATGCTGTTAACGCTGCCAAAGAACAAGGCAAAAATGCAGATCATTGTTTAGAATCTGGTAGACTTGCACTTAGAGAAATTAGTTTAAGTTCATTCGCATCGTTAGATGCTTGTGTGAGTAATGCCAAACAGGGTATTGTACCAGCACAAAATAATATGGATGCTACCATTGGTGTAAGTACGAATAATATATTGCATCGGCTTAAAAAAAGAAAGAAACAAAAAAAAAAACAATATCTGAAAATAATTATTATCTTTCATTTTTATTAATATATGTATATAATAATTTGATTTTTAATTAATTATATACTTATCTAGGTTGCCAGACAAATGCTCACAGTATTGGACAGCATATTCCCTGATTGTTACTCAAATAATATATTCCAAATGCAAAGTTGCATTTCCCTTGCCATAGGCAAAGCTAATGGTACTATCAGAAGTCTTCAAAGTACTGCCGAAAATGTTAAAAGTAGTGGTAATGTAGCATCAAGCAATTCATACATCAAAGGAAATTCTTGTATGTCTGGTATTGTATCCTCGGCTCGTCCAAAAGTACCTGTTGCCGTGAATGATGCGAAAGCGTGTATAGAAAGTGCTTAAATAAACAAACAAACAAATAAACAAAAAAAAAAAACTATATACGAGAGATTGATTTAAATATGTAAAGTGAAAAAAATGTAATCTATTAAGTATGATAATATTAAATTAAATTTTTTTTATGACGAATTTCTTACAATGAAAATATTGAACTTTAACAAAAGATTTCATTTTTAAATATCTATGAACGAATTAAAAATCTAATCTTTTGTAACATAAGAAAAAATTGATTGACGTCAATCTTTCGAGAATTTTTATTTATTATAAGTGAAAAAGAAAATCAGTTCGATTGGTACAATCAAGATTCGCACGAACGAACTTTACAATCAATCATGCGAAACAATATTTCTGATGTAATACAAAAAATCTGTTCCTTTCTGAGAGAGAGAGAGAGAGAGAGAGAGAAAGTAGGTAGTTAAGTAACAATAGATTTATTAAAAACTAGGTAATGTCTTATCAGAAAAAAAAAATGTCTGTTTACGAACTAAATAACAATAATATATATATATTGATCTTATTAGAATTGAAATAATGAATAATATAAAATAAAATGAATTAATTCGGTAAATTTGATATATTAAATTCTACTAGATGCAACCATATCATCAAATTCTTGTTCGTGTTCCGATTTGGTTAACATAAATGCTGGTAATGTTAATCCCAGACTCTTGTCATAAATAGGTTGAGTTTCGGCAACATATTCGTAAGGTTCAACTTCGTCTAATTTTTCTTCCTCAGTTGTTTTTTCAACATTTTCAACTGGTTTTAATTTTGTCACGTAAGAATCTTCACTCGCCGATGGTATCGGTTCGAGAATTTCTGTTTTCTTTTTTAATTGGCTTTTATTCAAACTCGAACTGGATGATTTGTTATCAGGATCAATCTTAAATTGTTTAACCTCGCGATATGTATATCTGTCATTATTATTATTATTATTAATGTTATCTGGTTCTTCTTGGTCACCTACGAACATACATTCTTCCTTTCGAAAATCCTTATCGTCTGTGCACTGATAACACGTCATTTTATTCTTCATTATTTTCTTACAATTTTTACGATCCTCATTTTGAAATTCTTTCAAAACTTTCTCTATGTCAGCTTTTTTTTTTTGACCATCGAAGTAAGTATCATCGTTAACTTTTTTTTTAGTCTCATCGATAGCTGCCTTAGTTGCAGCTGCTGCTGCCTTCAAGGTCGACGGTTCGAATATCAAACGTTCCGAATTTTCCGAAGGATATCCTTCCTTCTCGTTGTAATCTTCATTTTTATCATAACCCTTATCGTAACCCTTATTATATGGCGGTTTAATAATTTTTCTAATATTTTCTTGAACATCATAACCCTTGGATTCTTCTTGATTTTCCTCAGATTTCGTAGGACTACCATAAGAATTACCTTTCGTATACGCGTATACTTTATCTTTCGGTTTATAAGCGTAAGAACATTGTTCAAAATTATCACCACTTTTAGGATCTTTACAAACCTTACACGTCATCGAATCCTTTTCGATTAATTTACAATTGGATTGATCTATTTTTTCTGAATTTATTTCAGATTCCGATTTATATTCCGACGGGCTAGTATAATAATCAGGTAAAACGTCGTATGAATCTTTTTTATTATTGGAATCTGATTTATCGTAATAACTTTTAGATTCGTCCGGTAAATTATAATCTTTCGTATAATCCGAATATTTGGATTCGATAGGACGATCGGATTCTTCATCTTCTTCTTCTTCCTTTTTCGAACTTGATGATTTTTTTGACGTATTTTCAGGATAACCGAATGATTTAGATCTACTGAATTTGTATACCTTATCTTTAGGTTGATATGCATAAGAACATTTCTCATAATTACCACCCGTTTTAGGATCCTTACAAATGGTACAAATTTTACCATCTTTTTCAAGCTTTTTACAATCGGTCGATGATTCTTTTTCTTCGTCTATATTTATTTCCTCATCGTTTCTTACTTTCACCTGTGATCTTTCATACCTTTCACTTGGATACGATGATTCGTAATATTTTTTTTCTGGATCAACCTTAAATCAATTATAAAGAAGAAATATAATCAAATTAAGAATTTTATAGATTCATTATTTTTACATCTGATCAAATACAAATCAGAAGAAAAAGGTAATAAGATAAATTTTCAACAATTATTTATACTTTTTTCAAATATTTTAGACTAATGTTTGTTTTAAATAATATAACTATTGATCTAGTTTTATATTTACAAATCTAAATTATGAAAAATCTTAACAAAAAATTATTAATCTTTTAAATAAGCAAAATTCTTATAACTCACCTAAATATTTATTAACTTTAAAGTTCTACTTTATATAGGCAATAATTTCCTAATTTTAAGTAAACGAAAGGATACTTACAATTAATAGTTTAAAATATATATATATTTATTTATTATATTACCTTTAATTTTTCATCCGGTTCTGCGTCCTCGTCGTGTCCTTTTCCAAATAATTTTGATTTACTATAAGCATAAGATTTGTCATTAGGTTTAGCTACGTAAGAACATTGTTCATACTTTGCTTTACTTTTCATATCCTTGCAAACCATGCAAACCATAGAATCCCTTAATACTTTCTCACAATTTTCATTAATTTTTTTATACTTATCAGGAATATATTCGCTAGCTTCGGTAAAAATTTCGTCACTAAATCTGTATGGATTATCAAACTTTCGATTAAAATTCGGATGATCCTTTAAATTCTCGACGTGTTCGGAGGCAGCAATTTTTAATTTGCCATCATCCAAGGATATTTTCGTAGACGGTGATTCTCGATTCTCGATATTTGAATTAGATCTTCGTTTTCGAGGTGTCAAATATTCCGAATAATTGTCATCCTTTTTTGAATTGTAAGTACAATAATCATAAGTATTACCAGTTTTTAAATCCTTACATTTGTAACAAGTATCCTTATTCATTTTATCATTGTTAGAATGAATTTTGATTTCCTGACAATAAGGTAAACCTGATTTCAAAACTATATCCTTGTATTTGGCATTATCTTTATCTATTATAGGATAAGGTGGTAATATTGTTTTTTTCAAATGTTTATCTTCTTTAGGAATCTTTTTTATTCCAATTAAATCCGAGGATTCTGTATAAACGTCAGTTTCCAAGGGCCACGGTTTGTTTTCCGATTTATCTGATTTTTTTAATGAATCCTTGTAATATTCATATTTCAAATCTATCGATATTACTTTATTTAATGATAAAGCAATTATCAAATAAATCTGCAAAAGTAACATTGAAGAATTATTGGTCAGATGAATATTTAACAAAAAATTGACATTATAATTATTTAAATATATTTAATATTTATTTTCTACAAATAATACACTTACTAACTAATAACATTTGAGAGAGAAAATATTAATCAATTAATTAAAAATAATAATAACAAAAAAAATGAATATATTGTCTTACCTTAAAATCGATCATCCTTAAATATAGATCATCTACCTGCCCCGTATCAGAATAATCAAATTTTAAATAATTCGATTCTGAATTCTAGTTCGAACGATCTATTATTACTTTCTATGAAAATGATACTGGTTAACCAATTCGAATGGCTTTATATATTGACTATGTAAATCTCTTTTAGATCAAACCCCCCACTTATTTAATATTTCGTGTTATTCTCTCTTACTTTGGTGAAACGTTCTAACCAATCTCCAGAAAATTGCATTCAATATTATATATAATAAAAGAAAGGGAAAAAGAAATAAAGAGAGAGAGAGAGAGAGAGATAAGATTCATTGAAACGCATGAGTTGAGATGTTGCGATTGATCGATTACCTAAACGTTCGATTTTCTTTAATACAACTGTTCTTAAATATATATTCTCTACCTTTAATTTAACAAAGACACATTTTGCTTATTTTTGATTTTTTAAATATGTATAATATTTATTAATTATAATATATAATATTAATAATTTATATAAATTATTAATATTATATATTATAATTAATAAATATTATACATATTTAAAAAATCAAAAATAAGCAAAATGTGTCTTTGTTAAATTAAAGGTAGAGAATATATATTTAAGAACAGTTGTATTAAAGAAAATCGAACGTTTAGGTAATCGATCAATCGCAACATCTCAACTCATGCGTTTCAATGAATCTTATCTCTCTCTCTCTCTCTCTCTTTATTTCTTTTTCCCTTTCTTTTATTATATATAATATTGAATGCAATTTTCTGGAGATTGGTTAGAACGTTTCACCAAAGTAAGAGAGAATAACACGAAATATTAAATAAGTGGGGGGTTTGATCTAAAAGAGATTTACATAGTCAATATATAAAGCCATTCGAATTGGTTAACCAGTATCATTTTCATAGAAAGTAATAATAGATCGTTCGAACTAGAATTCAGAATCGAATTATTTAAAATTTGATTATTCTGATACGGGGCAGGTAGATGATCTATATTTAAGGATGATCGATTTTAAGGTAAGACAATATATTCATTTTTTTTGTTATTATTATTTTTAATTAATTGATTAATATTTTCTCTCTCAAATGTTATTAGTTAGTAAGTGTATTATTTGTAGAAAATAAATATTAAATATATTTAAATAATTATAATGTCAATTTTTTGTTAAATATTCATCTGACCAATAATTCTTCAATGTTACTTTTGCAGATTTATTTGATAATTGCTTTATCATTAAATAAAGTAATATCGATAGATTTGAAATATGAATATTACAAGGATTCATTAAAAAAATCAGATAAATCGGAAAACAAACCGTGGCCCTTGGAAACTGACGTTTATACAGAATCCTCGGATTTAATTGGAATAAAAAAGATTCCTAAAGAAGATAAACATTTGAAAAAAACAATATTACCACCTTATCCTATAATAGATAAAGATAATGCCAAATACAAGGATATAGTTTTGAAATCAGGTTTACCTTATTGTCAGGAAATCAAAATTCATTCTAACAATGATAAAATGAATAAGGATACTTGTTACAAATGTAAGGATTTAAAAACTGGTAATACTTATGATTATTGTACTTACAATTCAAAAAAGGATGACAATTATTCGGAATATTTGACACCTCGAAAACGAAGATCTAATTCAAATATCGAGAATCGAGAATCACCGTCTACGAAAATATCCTTGGATGATGGCAAATTAAAAATTGCTGCCTCCGAACACGTCGAGAATTTAAAGGATCATCCGAATTTTAATCGAAAGTTTGATAATCCATACAGATTTAGTGACGAAATTTTTACCGAAGCTAGCGAATATATTCCTGATAAGTATAAAAAAATTAATGAAAATTGTGAGAAAGTATTAAGGGATTCTATGGTTTGCATGGTTTGCAAGGATATGAAAAGTAAAGCAAAGTATGAACAATGTTCTTACGTAGCTAAACCTAATGACAAATCTTATGCTTATAGTAAATCAAAATTATTTGGAAAAGGACACGACGAGGACGCAGAACCGGATGAAAAATTAAAGGTAATATAATAAATAAATATATATATATTTTAAACTATTAATTGTAAGTATCCTTTCGTTTACTTAAAATTAGGAAATTATTGCCTATATAAAGTAGAACTTTAAAGTTAATAAATATTTAGGTGAGTTATAAGAATTTTGCTTATTTAAAAGATTAATAATTTTTTGTTAAGATTTTTCATAATTTAGATTTGTAAATATAAAACTAGATCAATAGTTATATTATTTAAAACAAACATTAGTCTAAAATATTTGAAAAAAGTATAAATAATTGTTGAAAATTTATCTTATTACCTTTTTCTTCTGATTTGTATTTGATCAGATGTAAAAATAATGAATCTATAAAATTCTTAATTTGATTATATTTCTTCTTTATAATTGATTTAAGGTTGATCCAGAAAAAAAATATTACGAATCATCGTATCCAAGTGAAAGGTATGAAAGATCACAGGTGAAAGTAAGAAACGATGAGGAAATAAATATAGACGAAGAAAAAGAATCATCGACCGATTGTAAAAAGCTTGAAAAAGATGGTAAAATTTGTACCATTTGTAAGGATCCTAAAACGGGTGGTAATTATGAGAAATGTTCTTATGCATATCAACCTAAAGATAAGGTATACAAATTCAGTAGATCTAAATCATTCGGTTATCCTGAAAATACGTCAAAAAAATCATCAAGTTCGAAAAAGGAAGAAGAAGAAGATGAAGAATCCGATCGTCCTATCGAATCCAAATATTCGGATTATACGAAAGATTATAATTTACCGGACGAATCTAAAAGTTATTACGATAAATCAGATTCCAATAATAAAAAAGATTCATACGACGTTTTACCTGATTATTATACTAGCCCGTCGGAATATAAATCGGAATCTGAAATAAATTCAGAAAAAATAGATCAATCCAATTGTAAATTAATCGAAAAGGATTCGATGACGTGTAAGGTTTGTAAAGATCCTAAAAGTGGTGATAATTTTGAACAATGTTCTTACGCTTATAAACCGAAAGATAAAGTATACGCGTATACGAAAGGTAATTCTTATGGTAGTCCTACGAAATCTGAGGAAAATCAAGAAGAATCCAAGGGTTATGATGTTCAAGAAAATATTAGAAAAATTATTAAACCGCCATATAATAAGGGTTACGATAAGGGTTATGATAAAAATGAAGATTACAACGAGAAGGAAGGATATCCTTCGGAAAATTCGGAACGTTTGATATTCGAACCGTCGACCTTGAAGGCAGCAGCAGCTGCAACTAAGGCAGCTATCGATGAGACTAAAAAAAAAGTTAACGATGATACTTACTTCGATGGTCAAAAAAAAAA